GTGAGGGCCAGACTAGTAGTTGGGTCGGTGACGACCAGCGAATCCCTGGTGTTGTATGTTTTCCTCTTTTTTTTTATTGATTCATGATATATTCTTGATTTACGTCTTGGGGTGTGCGTATCTGTCTCAAGGACGCGGCATGTTGACAGATCTATTTTCGTAACATAGCCGAAGGGATTGATTGACGACGTGGTGGGAGTACGACTTCTGGATAAAATACATATTTTACTATTCAATACTCTTAAAACCGTTCTTCACTTTTGAATCTTTACTAGTTAACCTAACTGGCTGCCCCAATTTCGAGGTCCCAGATTTAAAGCATCCCAATCTGGCCGACATGGAAGTGGGCATTCATTCATTTGTGGGGAACCAGCCAACCAACTTTACTGCTGACTGCACCAACCACCTATAGGTGGTCTCTCTATCACTCCACAGGTCCCGCCGCTCTCCGAAGCGACGCCACTGGGACCCTTCTGGGTGGCGCCGGGAGCAGCCGCAAGCTCCGCGAGCAATCAGCTCACCGGGGTGTGGTCATCCAGGCACATCTTACTGGCTGGCGAGCGCGTGTTGGTTGTCCAGCTCCCACAGCGTCAATCGGAGTTAGGGGTGTCTTTACGTACGAAACCCCGCGGCTGTTGTTGGCTCGCAAGCAGGCACCACCTTTATTCACTTCCAACGGCACAGCTCGCCGTGTGTTTTTCGACGCGTGGACAATCGCAGGATTTATAATTCAGGATTGGGGAAATCCCCAGAGCGGTTTCTTTTTTTATTTCGCTGGGGTGGCCCGGACCTTGTCTTGAAGCAACCCTCCCGGGCGGTAGAGTACTTGTAGGCTCCCGCCCACCTTCTTGGCGACCTTTTCAACCTTGGATCTGCAAATACCTGCACCTGTAAAAAGAGGTCATCGCATATCCTAAATAGTAGCCCCACCACAAATGGCAGCAGAAAACATGCCTCTACTCCAAGGCAAGCTGCCACGAGGTAAGCTTACCCCTACCTACCACCGCCAACCCTTTATGACTACCTCCAAACTCACCGCAAACCACAGCCTCCTTCGCCGCCGCCCTCTCCCACAGCACCAGCAATGGAGCAACAATCACGCACCACCACCCCCTCCCGCAGGCCATCGCGCACCGCGGCCACAAGGCCGCCTTCCCAGAAAACTCCATGGCGGCGTTCCAGGCGGCCGTCGAGATCGGCGCGCACGCCATCGAGACGGACCTGCACCTGTCCAAGGACGGCGTCGTGATGCTGTCGCACGACGCCTCGCTCAAGCGCTGCTTCGGCGACGACCAGAAGCTGGCCGACTGCGACTGGGAATACCTCAGCACCCTGCGCACCCTGCGGGAACCGCCCCAGCCCATGCCGCGCCTGATGGATCTGCTGCTGTACCTGGGCAAAAAGGAGAACGAAGGCGTGTGGGTCCTGCTTGACATCAAGGTGGACGACGACGCGGATGAGTTGCTGGGGAACGTGGCCAAGACGCTGTTTGTGGCGCCGACGAGCAGGCCGTGGGACCAGAGGGTGGTTATGGGTGCTTGGAGTGTATGTTGTTGTCTCTATTGTCCGTCCCTGCCTGCCTACCGGATGATCACTGACACACCCTGTGTAGCAACACTACGTCGACCTCTGCAAGAAATACCTGCCCACCTTCCCCGTCGCCCACATCGGCGTCTCCCTGCCCTACGCCAGCCGGTTCCTCAGCCAGCCGGCCGTCGACTTCAACATGCTGCAGCCCATGCTCGTCGGCCCCGCCGGTGCCTGCTTCATGCGCGCTGTCAAAAAGGCCCAGCGCAACCTGTTTGTGTGGACCGTCAACGACGAGTACTGGATGGAGTGGAGCATCCGCAAGCAGGTCGACGGCGTGATCACCGACGACCCCCAGCTGTTTCTCGATGTCCTCGAGCGGTACAAGGCTGCGCAGGCGAGGATATACGGTGATGGCGGGGAGGGCGGGGAGGGAGTGGTGAATGGCGGGAAATTGAAGAGGGGGGTGATTGTGAAGACGGGCAGTGTCAAGAGGGCGAAGCTGTATGCGAGAGCAGCAGTTTTTCAGCTGTTGGGGATTGTGCTCGTGCTTTGGCTTTGGCGCAGGTTCTCGACGATGAAGGGGGGGAAGAAACGGGTGGCGGGGCCTGTTAAAGTCTAGGTGCAGGCGAAGGATTTACGAAGTGATGACTGGGTTTAATATTAAAGGCCGAACGGGTTTCGAGTTTGGCAATCTTTGGGTTTCAATTTTCTTTTTTCTTACTAGGACGGATACCTATTTGCTTTTAGACATAGAGTTAGGTACATCCCCAGCTCGAGACGATTGCGGCAATTTTAGAATTTTGCGGTGCCTTAGTGCTGCGTGTTGTTCACGATAGCGTCACGATGACATGGTGTCAATTGGAGGCGGGAGCAGCTGACACTGGGGCGAGCCAAGTTGGCTTCCCGTCGAGTCCATCTGCCGCGTACTCGAACTGGGGCTTAGTCCAGAGCAAACAAGTACTCTCCCATGATGTTGACCCAAGTGTTATGTCAGACTCGTCCATGCAAACCAAACACGAATGGCAAACATAAACACGCGCAGTTTGCACTCTATAATCTGCACAGCCCGACAATAGTGTCGTCATGCTGGAGGGTGCCTTGAGCACTCCTGCGGAGGAACTCATCAGCCCGGCAGCACGGTTTTAGGGCTATCTCCGCAGACGGGCTGCATGGCATTAGCAGGGTCTAGGCAGATTGTCTAGAGCGTATCCGGCTGGCCGCGGGGACCTTGTGCCTTGACCAAAGGACCCAATCCGTCGAAGCAGGTCCCTGCCGATCGGGCGTTCCGCCTGAGACGCCCGCATCGTGCGCTTTGTGGTGACGAAAGTCCACGAGAGGGCGGACTTTCGGGTTGTCGCAAGGCCGCTAACTGGGACTTGGGAAGCAGCAAAATCGGGCCACACAAATTGGTCCATTTACCATTGTTTGTTTGTTGCTAATTGATACTTAGGCAGCGTGTTCTTCGTCATCTGTTATGATTGATTGACGTGGCGGTTCTGTTTATTACATGTTTCCTAATAGTAGCGAAGCCCCAGAGGATAATCGCTTTGCTTTATTTTCTTTCCTCTGCCGTTTCTCAGTTATCTGTCACCGTCGATAATTAAATAGTTGAAATCGCTGGATTGAATAGGTACACCCGACTCGGACCTCGATATACCCACTTCAGTTACACACCTACCTTTTGCACGTGTAGAAAGAACACTTGCAGATCGCGACAGCCATGGCGAACGACGAAATACCCGAGGATGGATATAGCGGAGGCTCTGAAAAGGCCCATCACCTTGTCGTGTTGGTGCACGGTGTGAGTTAGATCCCGCCAACCTCGGATTCTACTGTCCTGGACATGGCGACAATCAGGACATCCGGAAGTGCACGCACAGCATGCTGACTGCGCAACCAACACAAAACAGCTCTGGGGCAACCCCAACCACATGGCCCAGGTGGCCAAAACTTTACGCGCCCACCACTCCCGCGACGAGGTCCACATCCTCGTGGCCAAGCGCAACAGCGGCTCCTTTACCTACGACGGCATCGAGCTGGGCGGCGAGCGCGTCTGCCTCGAGATCGAGGACGAGCTCGCCCAGATAGCCTCGCGCGGCGGCACCATCACCAAGCTCAGCCTGGTCGGCTACTCGCTCGGCGGCCTGGTCGCGCGCTACGCCATCGGCCTGCTGCACGCGCGCGGCGTGCTCGACAGACTGGAATGCAACAACTTCACGGCCTTTGCGTCGCCGTTCCTGGGCGTGCGGTCGCCGCGCAGGGGCTTGTTCGGCGACTTTTTCAACGGCGTGGGCGCGCGCAGCCTGTGCATGTCGGGCCGCCAGCTGTTTGGCATCGACCGGTTCAGGGACACGGGCAAGCCGATCCTGGCGGTACTGGCGGATCCCAACAGCATCTTCATGGCCGGGCTGGCGAGGTTCAAGAGGCGGACGGTATACATGAATATCACAAATGATCGCACGGCGCCCTACTACACGACGGGCATCATGAAGACAGACCCGTACAGGGATCTGGACAAGATCAAGGTCAATTTCGTCCAGGGGTATGAGGACGTGGTGCTGGATCCCATCACTCCCATTGCGGCCTCGGCGACACCCCCCAAGGTGCCGTTGCTCGAGAGCGTGAAGAAGAGTCTCAAGCGGATTTCGTTTATATCGCTGCTGGTCATGGTCATGCCGATTGCTTTTGTAGGCTTGCTCGTCAACTCGGTGATTCAGTCGGTACGCAGCGCTGGACGCGTGAGTCTGCACGAGAAGGGTCTGGCGGGGATCAATCCCAAGGACTACAGGGTGAACCTGTGGATGAAGGAGATCCGCGGCGCGGTGGAGGATGCCTACGAGTCCCTCAACAATGCGCAGGGTCAGGAATACTTGGGGCTGTCGTCGTCATCGTCGGAGGCGGGAGATGTGGAGGTTCGTGCTGGTAGAGGCGATGCGGCGGCCACAGAGGATCAAGAGATTCTTGCTGTCGAGAGAAAGGAGTCCAGGCTGGCAGACCAGCTGACGCTGGCACTCGCGCCGTACCAATTTACGGCGATACAGGCCCTAGATAAGCTGGGGTGGCGCAAGTACCCGGTTTGGATTCACAAGGTGAATCACAGCCATGCCGCGATTATAAAGCGGACGGTTAGCCCGAAATATGAGGAGGGCCAGGTGGTGCTGAATCATTGGGTCCGGGAGGAGTTTTTGCTTTGAGACGTACTGAGTGGTTTCACGGGCTTTCTTTTTGGATCTTAGAAGCAGATATGTTTGGTGTTTGGAGTTTCTGGAAAGATGAGTGTGGCCTTTGTGACGGCATTCATGTCTTTGCTACAGGTGCGGTGTTTTTCCTGCTGGCCTGTCTGGCAGATAGGTACCTAGTTGGGAGATCATTTCCGAGGGAGGTAGTGGATAGAGACCGTGGATATTACCGCCACTACTTATTAGACTAGACTATTTAATTCCAGTCAACATGTTACATCAGATGCCATTTGCCCATTATCGAGTTCGAACTGATGACCTCATCGTATCACGTGGCCGTTACTAGCGATGCGCGACTACCACTGCGCCAAACGGGCATGGCAATTGTTGATGGGGGCCTCTCAGATGATTTCTTTTCGTCTTGTTCCCATCGTGCCATCATCCTAGACTAGGGATGAGGACAGGAGCTTCCCTGACGACCCCCACAGGAAGATGCCACTTCTGGCTTAGGGTGAACCCGACAGCCCGGGTCGGATGCTGTGGAGGTCCATGCTTTGCCATCCGAGCCAACTCCAAAATGCGCCAAGCCAGCTCGCGAAAGCTGCGGGCTTGGCGTGAAAGAGCCCGACGCGCCAAGGAACCTGAATCAGCAGTCAGCCGGGAAAGCAGCTAACGACGCCCCCAGCAACGGGCGAGCTTGCCCCTGAATTCGTCAGCTTCTCAAGCTTCTTTCCTTTGGTGTTACTTCGCATCTGATTGACCCACGCATTGACTTCACGTGTGGGTAGTCAGCCGGCAACATGAGAAGCTCTCGCGTCGCAAGGGAGACGTCGAGGCTGTTTGCCCGGACTAATAATCCAGCAGCATCTTCAGCGCTGCCGCCCCGTCGCTCGACCCGTGTCTCGGGCCTGGCACGCTTCTCCTACAACCCCAATGCCAACGCAAATGCCAGCATCAGTAACACCAAGGCGAGCGACGATGACGACGAGAACAATTCCGACAACGACATCACTTTTGGCTCCGACATTGAAGATGCCGTCAAGTTGCGCAGCTCTCCGTCTGCATCTCCGCCAGCGCGACGAACCGCCACGCGGAAGCGCAAGCGCACAACCACAACCACAACCACCACCACTACGACCACAACGGCAACGGCAGTGAAGGATGAGGAATTCGACAGAAAACCCACCATCAAGTCCTCCTCCTCAACCAAATCCGAAATTAAATCCGAAAGCGACAGCGACGCTACCACCAAGCCCCCAAGCGCCGCGCACCCAGAAAAACACCGGCGCGCAAGACCACGAATCCCACAACCGGCCTCGTCCAGGTCCAGCCTCCCTCCGACTGGGAGGAGATGTACTCCCTCGTGAAGGAGATGCGCATCTCTGGCCCTGCTGCCAACGCGGCCGTCGACACAATGGGGTGCGAGCGGCTCGCGACGGCCACGGCTTCCGCCCGCGACCGCCGCTTCCACACGCTCGTCGCCCTGATGCTGTCGAGCCAGACCAAGGACACGGTCAACGCCGAGGCCATGGCGCGGCTCAAGGCCGAGCTGCCTCCGCACGTTGAGGGCGCGCCGCCGGGGCTCAATTTGGAGAACATGCTGGCGGTGGAACCGTCGATGCTGAATGAGCTGATTTGGAAGGTGGGCTTCCACAATAACAAAACCAAGTATGGCTCTCTCTCTCAATCACTTTATCTTACTGTATACTATGCAATACCTATGATGATGCTAATTATCCATCCGTATAGATACCTCAAACAGGCCGCCATTATACTGCGCGACAATCACAACGGCGACATCCCCGACACCATCGAGGGGCTCATGGCCCTGCCCGGCGTCGGCCCCAAGATGGCCCACTTATGTATGAGCGCTGACAACGGCTGGGGCCGCGTCGAGGGAATTGGCGTCGACGTCCACGTCCACCGCATCACCAACCTCTGGGGCTGGCAACAGCCACCCACAAAGACACCCGAAGAGACCCGTCTCGCCCTGCAGGCATGGCTCCCCAAGGACAAGTGGAAGGAGATCAACTGGCTGCTGGTCGGCCTGGGTCAGTCCGTGTGCTTGCCTGTCGGCCGGAAATGTGGCGATTGCGAGCTGGGGCTAAGGGGGCTATGCAAGGCCGCCGAGAGGAAGAAGGTGATCGAGGGGAAGAAGAGGAGGGAGATTACGGGGCGGGTCAAGGTGGAGGTGAAGCTTGACGAGGACGAAGAGGGGAAAGAGGTGATGGTTATCAAAAAGGAGGAGGAATTGGAAGAGCAAGAGGTTATGGAGGAGGTCGAGAGAGAGGTGGTTGTTAATGAAGAGGCGCCGGCTATAAAAAGAGAGGAGGACATCCCGTCCAAAGAGTCAACCCCCCTCTCTGACATTGAGCCTGCCCAAGTTAAGAAGGAAGAGAACGTTGAGGAGGGTGAGCCAATGGAGGGGATCGAGACTGAGACAGTACCGGTGACCAAACGGGAGCAGAGTTTTCCATCCAAGGAGTCGACACCCTTATCCGACATTGAGCCCGCACAAGTTAAAAACGAGGAAATGGTCGAGGAGGGTGAACAGATGGAAGGCGTTGAAACAGAGACGGCGGCGGTTTCCAAACAGGAGGAAAGTTTGCCATCCACGAGGTCGACCCCCATATCCGATACTGAACCTGATCAGGTTAAGAAAGAGGAGCAGGCGGTGTTGGCAACTAAACAAGATGGTATCTCATCTGAGGAGTTGAAGCCTGAACCCGAATCTGCATCTGCTCAAGTTAAGGATGAAAGAGAGGAGGGCGAAGAGGACATTAAAGAGACACTAGTGGATGCAACTGAAAGGGAAGTGGGTGCCGACGAGGTGCTGCCAACAATCGAACGAGACGAGATCAAGCCAGAAGTCGAGGCCAAACTCGAGTGTGTCGAGGTCAAGGAGGAGGGCTCAGTTCAGCCCAAAGATGAAGGGTCCATGGCCATCAAGAAAGAAGAGTCCGTCCTTGTCAAGGACGAAGACTCCATCCGCATCAAGAAGGAAGAGTCGATGCAGCTCAAAAAAGAAGATTCAATCCGCATAAAGAGGGAAGAAAGCAGCGTCGCCGCCATCATAGCCAACTCGACTGTGTCGCCGCAGCCCATCATCAGGCGCACTCGGAGAGGCGGCGGCGCCTAGCTCGGCTCGGCATCGGCAATATGCCTCAGTTACTGGCCCCGATCGTCATGCCGGGCGCGGGCCTAATTAGTGCAAAGGTGGGCGTCTGGCTGGCCCAGCTAGCTACCTAGCAGAGCTAGCCCCGATTGCTACCCGACCGACGGATGATACCCCAGTTTTTAGTCACACTAGCTAGCGTTGCTGCAGGTTGTGGATTCGTATGGATATGCGTGTGGGTGGAGAGGAGGGGAGGGGAGGCAGACTCAGAGAGAGATTGATGTACACAGTATGCAAGATACGATATCGGAGCTCATAGTCGGTCCAATAATGACCTGTACACATAAATACCGTAGATCATTGACTGATTCAGATAAATGCAAGATTAATAATCACGCGTATTCACGAGCGAAGCTGCAGCGGTAAAAGGTTCTTTGTCATGTGTTTATTCTTTGGTGGACCAAACCAAGCGAGTTGGATTTGGGGGCTTCTGTGGTAGGAGTTTCCCTAACTTCTGCACCATCCCCAAAAATAAGAGAAAACTGAACTAGCAAAAGAAAAAAAAAGAGATATTGAGTGATAACGAGGCGGCCTTCAGCCAAATTCATCCTGATGGGGGAGGCTGCCATGGCTCCCCTCCCGCAATAATCCAGGCGTCAAAATAATAAACCCGTGATTATAAAGTCCCATCCTCCGGAGCCCTTTCCTAGACGCCTTGCCCAAAATAAGAAAGAAAAAAATTATTATATCGACACCCTGGCGGTGATATGTGCGGGTGCCTCGAATGGCGAAACGCTCGCTTGCCTTATGCGTCGCATGGGGAAAAGGAGTTGAACAAAAACGTAGTTAAAGCATAAAAGACGCCTCCGTGGATTCCAAAGTCAAAGCGCGGTGAAAAAGCATCGCATGCATGGTGCCGGCAAATTTAAGCGGTAAGCTGCTGTGCTTGCAGCGCCATCCTCATCTTGAGCAACTTTCGTCGGCGACGGCGATCGATGGTCCGTTTGCTGGTGGTAGTAGTGTTGCTGGTGTTGGCGGAGGCGGTGTTGGGTAGTGATGTTGCCGTATTCGTATGAATGGTAGGGTCTGTCGCTGCTCGCTGCAGCAACATGTTGCGCCGAGAACGCAGCGGCCTACCGTGGTTCGTCTGCTGCTGTTCCTGCTGTCGCAGTTGTTGCTTAGACGCCCTTGATGACTTGGGTGCGCTCCTTGTTGAGCTGCATAGCGTTTGCCTCAAACGCTTCCTTCTTGCACTGTTTCCGGGGGAAAGGCGCAAAAGGTCAGCAAGCGAGTCCTCTTGTGTCAAGACGTCCGACAGGCCGACGAGCCACCACTGTGGCTCGGTAGGGCTACTTACGTCGTCTAGATTCCTGCACTTGTGATCCTCTAATAGGCGGTGGTTGCTGCAGTAGTGCCCCTGGCAGAATGCGCAGTCACCCGAGATGCGCTGGGCGGCCGACTTGCAGTCGCTGAAGGAGCACTTGATCTTTCTGGGAGGCATTTTGGGAGTATGGGTGTGGGTGTTGTTGTAGTTCTTGTTGTGTCCGAGATGGATGAGTAATGGTGGATTATCGACAAACCGTTTCGTTGCACACAGCTAAGCAGGATGTCGGCGTCGGCGTCGGCGTCGGCGTCGGGGTTGCTGGTGGAAGACGAGAAGGTGTTTCTTTGAAGAGTACCGATCAGTCGAAGTGTGTGTAAGGAAAAAGAAGGAAAGAGAGGATTGCGTGGGCCAGGTAAGGTTATAAGAGAGACCAGAGACACGGGTGGCTTCGGGACTCTGGGGCAAAAGGCACTCACGTGGAGTGGTGTTGTACCGTGCAAGCGGCCGACTAGGGTCAGGCTAGCCTAACAAGTGCGGTGACTTGGGTACGGGTGCTTGGGTGGAAGTGAGAAGAAAGCAAGAGAGCAAGCTGGGTCTAAGCGGTGGAAAAGAGCCGCCCAACGGGCTTGGACTTTTTGTTAAAAAAGTACTGGGTTGCTTGGGTAGTGCGGCCAACTTGGCTAGAGCCAGCCTGTTCGTTTTGTGAGGTGTCCCTTGTGTCGGCTGTGTCGCTGTCCACTGCTGGCTGCTGGCTACACTACTGTCGATGACGGCACGGGAGGCGAGTCGAGGCGGGCCCAATTGGATTTCCAATAGCGCCCTAAAATCGGCGTGTATGTGGTAGACTTGTTGAGTGTGGCATGCGCTCGGAAATGCAAGGCTCTCCTTGGGGGTAACCAGGAGCCAAGGTAGGGTAGTGGAGGTTATGGTACCTTAGG